GCGTAGGCCTGAGAGAGCGAACTGTCCAGTATTGATGCTTTGCTCCTCAGAGCACGTTTTTTACTTCATCCAGTACAGGTCTTGTGAATAACCTTGCTGCAGGTTTTTCAAAGACCCGGAAAGGGGGAAAATACTGGCTAGTAGAGCCAGTGTTTCTATTCTGGCTGTTCTCTTCTGGCTTATTAAATCTTCATGCTGCTGCATCTCGGAAACCATTTGCCAGCCTAAGGCAACAAAACCAAAGGACTCAAAGGAGCACCAGGAATGGCAGAGGGCCGACCACAGAGGGAAAGACAGTCGTTATGAATGATGGGGCAGTCCGAGTAGAGACGGCATGTTCCCCCTGTGTTCGCGTGGGGTTCCTCCCACAGTCCGAAAACATCAGGGGAGACCTCTGGCCCTCCAGGGGGCACCCCAGACAGCCCCAGTGAAGCATGGGGTTGGCCAGGGCGCTTGTGGGACTGCATGTTTGCCGAGGAAGCAGGCATTTGCCTTGAATACAAGCAGGTTGTGAACCGCTGTGCACCTCCCCAACATGCCGGTGTGCAGCCAGCGTACAGGAAAAAAGTTTGGGTTGTTAAGAGGCTAATGAAAGGCTTACAAAGAGGCTTTGGCCCAAACAGAGTTGTTTTATGAACATTGGAGGCCGTGTGGGGCTACACCAGGGGTGCAGAGAGGCAGAAGATTTATCTTTCCCTCCACCCAGGCTCTTTATCACCTGATTGATCTCATCGTTTTTTGAGGGCTTTTCTGGTGGTTATAGTGTCGCACTGGTGAGCATTGCTGCCTCGCAGCGCAGGGGGCCCTGGGTGCAGTTCTGGACCTGGGGCGCTGTCTGTGTGGAGTTTGCATGTTCTCCCTGAGTTTGTGTGGGCTTCCTCCAGGTTCTCCGGCTTCCTCCCGCAGTCCAAAGACGTGCTGGCAGGTTGATGTGTTTTTGATCAGGCGTGTACAAAACAGTCTCCCTCACACCGTTTTTTACACTTGTATTTCCCACACGCATCACTAGATAGGTTTTTGATCTAGAAGTAGTCATATCTGTGAAGTAAGTCCTGAGAAGCCGCACGATGGAGTGTAAGGAAATGGCTCTTGGGAAAGAAAGAGGGACTTTAGATCAGTCCTGGACAGCGTCCGGGACAGAAGTCCAAGGATTCCCTTTGCTATTGCTGGCCGGATTTTGATATTTTAAATGATAAACGGCCCTCTGCAAGCGAGCTGATTTTCGGGTGCCTGGCGTACCTTTCTGTCGAGAAACTGTGCTGACAGCAGAGTGGGGCGAGACGAGAGGTTTTTTTAGGCCGGAGGGAGTAGTTGAGCCGACAGGCCTGGAGAGACTTGGAGGGAGAAAGAGTCGCGTCTGATTTTATTTATTTCCAGGGGTGAGAACAGGGGAGCTCTGGGTGGGGGAGAAAGTGACTGACTGAGGCAGGGGCAGATCGCTGCGTGAGGCGCTGTGGCACTGTGGCGTTTGCCTGTGTCGAACTGCGCCAGGCAAAGTGAGTGGGCACTTCACACAGGAAGTTTTGTTTTCTGAGTTTCTCTCTCTCTCTTTCTGTCTCTCGTCTCGGGCTGCTTGGCCCCCTTTTCAACTTTTGGAAGACGGCAGCCCACGTCAAGCTAGGCTCTCCATTTTCCTCTACACCTGAACCCTGCCTCCCTTCACAAAATGAAGGCTATGTGTCACAAACCGGTTCCAGCCGGCCGTTGCCATGGTTTCCACATTGGAAGGAACAGTTAGGGGAGGGGGGGGGTGCGTGTGTGTCACATGACTGTGGAGGGAAATGGCTGGGTCATGTGACCCTTTTGGTAGGGTGATTAATATACAGGAAGTGATTTGTTAGCTCTAAAGATACTGTCTGCAGTTACTTGAAGAAAATATATTTCTGATTAGAGTTACTCCGGTTCTCCTGTCCCTGCACTAACGCCACCCTTTGTCCACTCCTTAACCCCAGGCCTTTATTTTAAACTCTCAACTTTTTCCTGTTCATTTCCACTCCCAGCCCGACAGCAAAGGGTAAATGCGAAAGTCCCGGCCAAGAAGAGCACCTTCTGTTTTCCTACAGCTAAATCATTTTCTTGGCCCGGACTGGTGACCCAGAAGTTTTTTTGTTTTTAAACCGATCTCGCTGTTTGTTTTATAAAAAAAAAAGTTTCCTGGGAAAATATATGCTTCTGACATTGCATCGCCATTTATCTTTGAAAGTGTGCTGGTATAAATGAAAGGGAAGCATGGTTGTTATTTTGTTTTCGCTTTTGTCTCTGTTTTGCACGCTTGTGAGG